TAATAGCATCTCCACTATTTAAAACAGGTATAAAGCTGGTAGTACCGAAGTGGTTGACAACCACTCACAAGTGGTGGGCCGCACTGTGATTTAAAAAAAAATTATCCACCCACCCCATATGCGAGAGATTGTCGACAAACCCATCCCCTTCCCTCCTGTACAGGTAGCATAGCTCTTAAAACAGTCAATTTTGGGAGTAATATTTTTATTTTTCCCTTTCATCTAGAAAGGCTGCTAACTATAATAATGTGGGGTATATGTGATGAGTAGTATATTGAAACAAGTCTAACAATTCACAGTGCAAATGAGTTAGGTTTTAACCAAATCAGCTTTTCGAAAGGGAGAAGTCTTTTAGAAGCAAGTGATTCAAAGAGTGTATCCTAAGTTAGTTAAAAAGACAAGAAAATCTCTAATTTAGTATATTTTTTTTTTCCTTATATTTTTTTTGGGAAAAGTGTTGTTATTCTTACAACTGGAATTTCTTCTTTATCTTTTTGTGGGTTTTTTTTTTCTTTTTCTTTTTTGGTTAAATGACCAAATTGTTTGAATATGATCCAAAGACACAATTTCATTTGTTATTCTAATCTTGTGCCATTAATTATGGGTAAATGGACGGTTCCTAGTAGACAATTACTATGGGGCATATGCCACTAGAGGTCAATGGAGGTGTGTAAAGGATTTCTAAAGTCGAACATAAGTCTTGATTACGAAAGTAAGAAGCTAAACTCATAGTATGATATTGATATATATTTTGAAAAATATGGTTTAATATGTGATTTTGTTGAACGTAAAAAAAAAAAGCTTATACTCATAGAATATGACCATCTATAATCTGACGAGATTTAAATACTGAATCGAGTTTTCGAGATTGGTTTAGTTCAACTTGGGTAAAATTTGTAGAATGTTGATACGAAAATGAAGTTAAACATGGTTTAAAATCTCATTTTCAACCATTCATTCTAAGATATTCACAATTTTTATCAACATTTCGACCACATATTTTATTATGTTTTTATCAAAATTTACTACAAATCTGATTTTTAACCAAACCAAACAGGTGGTAAGTATTGTTCGACCTTACATGTCATACATTGCAATTTATATGATATAACCTTTACTTGAACTTGCAAGGATGCACAAAGTTAAAGTAGGGGGGAGAGTATTGTGTAAGAAAAAGTTTCAAGATAGTTTAAAAATGGCTGAAAGCAAAGAAATCATTCAATGAGCATAATAATAATTTCTGTGAGGCCCAAAGGGCAGACAGAATTGTAGCCGTGAAGTCACTTTTATTTATCTGTTAATTTCTTTCAATTTATGAACTAATTAATGTTTTTTTAGCTGTAAGGTCCGTTGCAAATATGTAGGGAATAAAAATATAATTTTATTAATTTATTGCACGTTTCTCTTAGTGACTGTTGTGGAAGAAATTTATTACCGACGACCTATGAGACTATGAAACACTTAATCGACCATCAAGATTTGACTACGTGAAATAACTAAGGCTATTTTTTAAATCGAGTTAGACAGACCGTCAATCTAAGAAGAAGGGATGATTATCTAAGGGGGTGTATTCAATTGGGACGTTTGAAGGCATTTGAACTTTCTTTAAGTGATAATTTATGTGGATTTCGTGAATTTTTTAGAAATTTGTATGGAATTATAAACTTTCGTTTTAAATTTTTAATAGACTTTTGTAAAATTCAAAAGACTTTTAAAAACTTTCATTTGAAATAAAATTCATGTGAAATTAGTGCAACATTGTAAAATCATCACATATGAGGTGGTAGTTTTCACAATTCCCCTTCTCATTTCCCTTCCCCACCCCATATAATAATAAAATATTTTAAAAAGAATAAAAATNAAATAGATATTTTTCACAAAAATTGAATTAAAAAAAGAAAAAAAAGGTTATAAGAATACAATTTAATTTTTTTTCATTGAAAATAGAAATAAAAAATAAGAGGGAGAAAAAGAAAAATAGAAAAAACTTTTTAGTAATAATTCTAATATTCGTAGTAGAGAAAATGAAAAAAAAAATATTGAAAAAAATACATATTAATTAATTTATTTTTTTATTGAAAGTCCAAAATCTTTTGATTAATGAGAGATAAATTTTGAAATTTTATTTTATTACTTTCTGATTAAAAGCTAATACAATGGAGACTTTTAGAAAAGCTTTTAAAAGTCATTAAAATTTGAATACCTCAAAACTTATAGAAATTTCAAAAAAAATTAACTGAATACTTAGCGACTTTTAGAAACTTTTTAAAAGTCTATAAAAGTTTTAATTGAATACACCCATTAATTGAATAATAAAAGATTAAGATCTGATATAATTTTATGTTTTAAGAAAGAAGAGTTAATAATTCATATGATATAAACCTTTCAAAACAAATGTTTGAAATCATATATATTGTGAAATAGTAGCTAAGTAAATAATTACTAAGTGAAATTAATATGTAAGGTAAGTAGTGAAAAAAAATTCCTTTATGGTGTTATCATATTATGTATGTGTGTATGTATGAATATATTGATTTGATACGAAATTCGAACTCGATATCTTTGCCAATAAATTACAAAATCTTGACGATCTTTATACTTAATAAATAAAGAATTGACTTTAAAATTATCTACCTTGCACCCAAACAAAAATATATGTTTCCACAAAAAGCAAGTAATAAAATCGTGCAAAGATAATATGGTAATTATATAAGTATGCACATATCTTTCTTTGTTATTTACTATGGTTGCACAAATACAATATAATGGAAATACCATATTTACATGCTTGGAGTGTTAGTGCATTATAAACATTGGAGAATTGTCACACCCTCAATTCAAGGCATAAATTTAGATAATATTTGTTGCCAAGATAGATTATTAATTTGCAAAGGGAGCTATATTATATATCCCCTTTGATTATGTTGCAAAATATTTATATTTGGCATATAAGTTAAACGAAACAAGGTTATATATAAGTCATTTCCTACAAAATAGGTCGATGAGTTAATACAATTTCATCCTTATATACACACGTGTTTGTAGCTACATATGCACACGTGTAAAAATCAGTTTCGTCACTAACCAATTTATATCACGAACGAGTTATGTACATTTTAAAATTTGTACCTTGAATATGTACTGAGAATTACCTTTCACGACTAAAATTTAAACATTGAGTGCTATAAATGCGAATTAAGACGATGGAGTACTATTTAATATTAGGTAATATTGATTGTGTGACAAGTACAATTACAATATAATAAACGCGCACATGTAGAAATTTTAGTTATATTCGTAGTCGAATAAAATTATGAAAAATTCTAAGTTACGTGGAGTCATATACAACAATCGTAGTGGTAAGAACTATATAAAAATAAAAAGGAATCGATCATCCTATCAATGAATTTGACAAATAATCATAATCCTTAATTTAACATTATATTTGAACACATAATTAAATGGAGAAAAAATTAAAACCAAAAGGTAAGAAAAGCCATGAATAGACATATCGAAATATACGGGAACAACTTATATTAACATATGCTACGTAGATAGATACAGAATCCTTCTACATGTGTATACGCGTATACAAAAATAGGGAAAAAAAATACTGAAGGGGGAGAGAGAGCCTCGGGTGGATTCCCGTGTATGGAGTGGTGGGCGGTGGGGTTCTTGGAGAAGACTTAAACATCACGATAGTGAAGAGTAAGTGAAGAGCGAGTGAGGAGTAAAAGACAGACAGCTTGCAATGAATCAAGAATTTCACCTACCATATTTCCTTTCTTTTTAGCCTCTTCTTCTCTCACTTCCTCTTCTTCACAACCCATTTTCAGTTTCATTTCTCCTTCTCCTTCTACTTCCTTTCTCACTGTAGAACAGGCTCTAGTAATGAAGGAATTATAGTATAGGGGTTTGGGTTTTTTTTGTCCTTGCTTTGTTTCTTTAAAGCTTTTACTCAGACTGGGCTCTTCTTGTTTGCCTTGAAATTTGTGCCCCAAGAATTATAATTCTCAATTCCTTTGTCAATTGTCATTGGAGTTTTTGGGTGAGAAGATTTTACTTTTGTGGGGTTAAAGAACAGGTTTGGCTCCGCTTTTTCTATGGTCTTTCTCTCCCATTCTGTAGCATGAACTTGTTTTTCTCTCACTTTCATGAGTGCATTTTACATATCCCATGCAAATTTTGTTCTAAAATATGAGATTTTCCTTGGCTCTCTGTTTTCCGAGGGAAGAAAGGTTGAAATTTTGATAAAGTTTGAGTCTTTTCAAGTATTTCCTTTTTTTTACCTTCAAATTTGCACAAAATTTGTTTTTGTTAAGGAATTTGCTAAATTTCTCTATGTATCAAGTTTGATTTTTCCAAGAAAAAATGGGAAAGTTTGAGTTTTTATGACCCTTCGTTTATGTTTTCAAATGAGGCCAAACAAGAAGCTGAGCAACAAATTGAAATATTTTGTTCCCTATTTTTTTTCTGATGTCTTTTACAATTCTTGAAATGCGTTATCTTATCTTGTATTTCTTCAACACACCATTTGCATGAAATATAATTCTGTATTTAATAACCAATTCTCTCTTTTCATTGCAGGATAATTAGTGTAGAGGAAACTGAGTTTTCTCTGCATTTTGGTTTCTTCAGATTTTGCCTTTGCAGACACAAAACCTCAAGGTTTGTTTCTCATTTCTGCATTTGAATACTTAAAATTTATGGTTTTGGCCATAGAATTTTGTCGGTGCACTCTATTACAAGTCCAATGTTCATATTCAATTTTTTTTCCACTTTTGTTGTTTAAGATTGTCTCTGATTTGCAAAAGATTTTCAGATTCCTAGTTTATTACCTTAAATCTTAGATTACTATATACAAGAATCCAAGTTTCTTAATTTACTATCTGAATGTGTGTGCATACATAAAAAATTTCTAAATTTTTTATTTTATTTTCTTTCAGGAAAAAATTGTGGGAAAGAGTTTTCGAAGTATAGAAATGACAGGTCCAAATTGCATGGATGAAAATGACTGTGGAAACTTGTTTGATCAAATTGACGACTTGATTGAGTTCCCCCCAGACAATGAGTATGGTGATGGCAACCTTGTTGACTTGGGCGATTGCAAGGATTTTGCTAGCATTTGGAATGATCCCTTGCCGGATTCAGACACCCTTTTCTTCAATAGCAAAAACAACGCCGTTACTGATCTATCCGCTGAACTCTGTGTTCCGGTGAGAATCAGCATTTGGCATGTAACTGTCATGAATTTCCCTAAACAAGTTAACTCTTGCTAACTGCTTGTTCAAAATTTTTGCGACCTTCTAGCCATATGCAATGGGTAAAATTTGTCAAATCATGTACCGTTGGACCAGTTATTAGTTTATGCAATCAGTGAAGTTTGTCGAATCACATACTGTGGGCCCAGTTGTTAGGTTATGTGATTGTATCAAATTCAAATTTCTGTCTAGCTGTCTTAATCTCTTGGCAAGGTAGTGGCTGTTAGGTGCAACATCTCGTTTATTCTCCCCACCTGAAATTAGGTATGAAAAACGAAAAAAGTAGAGGAGGGAGGATCTAGTTGGCAGTCATGGTGCTAATGAAATTACGGCTTAGTACTTTTAATTGCTATGCATTATCATGAATAGGAGTTCTTTATAAGATTTTAATGTATTTATGCCACGTTGGCGATGCTGGCTGTCACATTCTTGGCATTTACTATATTTTGATTAACCATTTTAGAACCAGCTTTTTTGGGTTCTATATAAACTTTTTCATGCTAATTTTAAAATAAGAAGCGGTAGGACAGTTTTGGTTTGACATTTGAATTATATAATCTCGTTTCAAATTCAAATATTTATGAGTAGGGTACGTATGGTCCACCCTATCCATACATTTAGTTTTTTATGAATTATATATATGTACATTTTAAATCCAAATTCTTAAGGTGTTAAACAAGTTTAGAAATCCTATTTTTCCATACTTGGTTCTTTCTCAATGTACATTTTCAAACTGCTAGCACAGTTTCGTCTGTAACTATCTGTTACTTCTCTTCTTTGAGTTAGGGCATTGTGGCACGAATACCAAATAAATCGTTTATTCATGTGAATCTTTACTTTATAGCTGCTAGGTGAGGGTATAACTTCACGATTTCCATCTTTGTACACTTTTAGGCTCTCGCTGAACGGGCGAGGGATTGGTATTTTAATGTGAGATGCCGTGACATGAAAATCCTGTAGCTCTTTTCATGTGGAAGTTACCGAAACTTCATGTGTGCAGTTATGAATTAGCACACTAGCACACGATATTTCATCACATGTTCAATTGGCTAATACTTTCCATTAACAGTGCTTCTTTTCTTGATTAAATGAATGGAGTATACCAATTCTGTTGTGCCTGCGATGATTTTGAAATAAATATATGATGTTATATCTTACGCTTATCTGATTATTTCTCTTAATTGTGCCTCGTTCTCGTGCAGTATGAGGATATCGTACAGCTGGAATGGCTTTCTACATTTGTGGAGGATTCGTTCTCTGGTGCGGACTTGACTCTAGGAAAGGAGAACCTTTGTGTTGACAAGAAGCCATTGCACCAACAATTCCTGACTTCCAGCCCGGTTTCGGTACTAGAGAACAGCAGCAGCAGCAGCAGCAGCAGTTCCTGCTCAGTTGGGAAGACTATGCCCCTCGACCTGAGGCACCGTGGTCCACATCGTGCCCGGAGCAAACGTCCACGCCCTGCAACTTTCAATCCCCGAGCAGGAATTCAACTCATTTCCCCTTCATCCTCCATTGAGACCCCACAGCCGTTTGTCACTCCAGTCGTTTCCTCAGAATCTGAATATTTTGCAGAATCGCAGCCTACGGAAAAGATTATGAAACCGGTTGGAGCAGAACAAAAGAAGAAAAAGAAAATCAAATCATTTGTGCCTGTTGGTCCTACGGAAATGAATCAGAACCCTCCAGCACAAGCAGTTAGAAAATGCATGCATTGCGAGATTACCAAGACTCCACAGTGGAGGGCTGGCCCAATGGGTCCAAAATCCCTGTGCAATGCTTGTGGCGTTCGCTACAAGTCAGGCCGCCTTTTCCCCGAATACCGTCCAGCTGCAAGTCCTACATTTGTTCCGTCATTGCACTCAAATTCACACAAGAAAGTTATCGAGATGAGAACCAATGGTGGGGCTGGAATCACAGCAACCACCATCAAGTCAGAATCTGTTTCAAACACCTCCCTGTCATATGAGTGATGGAAGGAAGCTGTCCTTGTGCAAACTCTTGGTTTTTAGTCTCATATTATTTGCTTGCGGTTGTTTCGTACCTATTTTCATTGGTTCTTTGTACAGAGATGTAATGTGGAGTAGGAGCCACAATAGACATTATAATTTGTAGGGAGGAGGAATGAAATGAGCGAGTCTGGTCGATAAATCGAGTTTAGGACTAGGGCGAGCTTTTAGTCTTGTTTAGGTCTTTATTATTAGTAGTTTTCTGCTCAGTATTATCTATTTCTTGGTCTATTCTGTTTCCATGTCATGGGAATTCTTTTTGCAGTTAAGTTGGAATTTTGAAATGTAAGAATCAAAATTATGTGCTCTCTCTCTCTCTCTCTCTCTCTCTCTCTCTCTCTCTTTCTCTCTCTGCTTTTTTGTTTTTGTTTTTTTTTTTGCATTTTTGTTTCTAAACACAATGATTGTATCATTTTATGTACCGTGAAGCTTTTGTTTCTAAACTCTTCGTGACAATCGATGATCCTAATTTATCTAACGATCTCTTCCAATAAAGCTAGACTTATTTTCATATACGACCTTCAAATATTCCTAGCAAGAATCCTAATATATAAATATGCATTAACATTCAAGAATATCGTGAAATGATTATATAAAGTATAGAAGTGTATTTATACCCTCTATCAGACTTCATGTTGTTTATTAACACGCATCGAACCTATTTTTGAACTTTCTAAAGCAAAATAACTCACAAATATATCATAGGGTGATCAAATATTCTAACGTGATTATCTCTTAATAAACAATGTGATAACGTGTAAAGGTCATGAATCTTTCATGTAAGTAAAACTTTTGCTGCATTTTCAGTGCATCAGGTTTCGAGTCGATCAATTACCAACTATTTATATTACATTTCCATTTTTTCCAATTCACGAGTAAACATTGCTGCAGAATTTGTTCTTCTTAATACTAGGTTACTTGTTACTGCATATAGTGACTAAAGATGATGTCCTTGCTGCGGCTTTTATTCAGCTCAATACTAGGTTACTTGCTATTATATATTTAGCACAGTTCATGTTACAACGTCAATTTAGTGACATTAAATGAGAGTTGCAATTGAATGAGTCATATCATTTAACCTTTAATCGAACGTATCACATAGGGACACTTACATTGGTGTTATAGCATCAATATTTTAGACAACGTTATTCTTTAATTTTTTATTTTTTATTTTTTTTTAAAAAAGGAGGGCGGTACCTCCAGAATTTTATTAAAAAAAACCCTCACTTGTGGCGGAGGAAAACCGTGGTTACATGTGAAAACAAAGAACGCGGTAAATAAGGAAGTACTACTTCCCTTACAATACTTATCCTTAGACTATACTTTTTTTTGAACGGACGAAATTTTATTAAGAATGAAACCTCACTTGTGGCGAAGCCAATCAATATCGAAGAAATGGTAATTACCAACTATCCGTTTGCAAAATTCCTTTAAGTAGCATCGGAACCTCGTCGCCAAAAGATAAATTTGAAGACACACCACTACTACCATTTTCAGTGGGTGTTTGGTGGAGATTAAAATTAGATTTTTAATAGATTGTGATAGAAATTTTTGAAATATGTTGTTGAAAAATTGTGGGACCTATGAAATATATGATTAATATTGATTGTTTGATTTTGACTTAGATTAAAATATGATTTTAATCCGAAATATACATGGCCTCAATATATCAATAGTGTAAAAGTCATTAGATTTTATTATGTAGTGTAGAGCATATGGAAACGTGAGAAAATGATAATCGGGGATAATCTTCAAGTTTTGTTGATTCATTCATAAATGTCAGAAAATTGAGCATTAAAGACTCGTTAATTCTCGAAGAATACTAAAATCTCGACACATAATTGAAAATAATCAAATTTTCATTCAATAAATCCCATTTTTCAATGACTCAAATGATCTTATTTATACCATGCAATAGAATTCAATTTTATATAAAAAAAATTCAAAATACCATAATAAAAATCTCAATCTCATATATTGATGAAAAAACCACCATATATAAGCAATGTCTTAATCAAAAGAGAAAAAAAATAATCTTAAATAATAGGTTTTTTAAAACTGCGAAAATAATTCAAAGTTCTAAACGTTGTTACATCATTTTGTAAAAGATTACCCTTTTAAAAAAAGAAAAAAAATCCCGATAAAGGGTATATTTTAAGAGGAAATTACACCAACACCTGGAATTAGAAATCCAATTTAAAAAATGCAATCACAAGTTTAATATTTCAAAAATCAAGTTTTAATTTATAATTTAAAAATATTTTTAAATTTTTATTTTTATATCTATATACAATAAAATCATTTAAATCTAGTCAAACCCTAAAATCATTTGAACCATTCTTCCTCTCCACTCTCACCTCCAGTCTCTCGCCGCCGCCGCAGCCGCCCCGGCAGCCACCTCGTCTTCCCCTCTATCTCGTCTTCTCTCTCTCACCAGCCCATGCAGTCGTCGTTTATCCCCCTCCTCTCCACTCTCATCTCTTCTGTATGAGGATCGTGGGTGACGCCGTCGGTGACGATCGCCAGAAAATCGCGTAAGTCCAGATCTCTGCACTTTCTTTCTGTTTACTTGCTCTGCCGGTGACGCCGTCGTTTTCCGTTTCACTTTATTCTCTTCGCCTTTGTAGTACCCGTCGTCCCAACCCAGTAGCGACGGCCCCTCACAGTCAGCCACCGACGAAATGGCACAGTGCGACCCAGATCTGTAGCATTTTCAGCAGCGCGACGCGACCCGACCCCAAACCCTTTCTCTCTCGCCGCCTTCGACCCTGCGGGCAATTTGAGGTATTCATCCAATGGCGATGGTTTAGGGTTTGGTTGCTTCTTGCCTGTTTGACTTCTAGAGGTATGGTGGTGGATTTTTTGGATGGGTTTAAAGGTGGTGACGGGACGGTGACTGTGGTTTGATTGTGGATTTTGTTGGATCTGGTGTGGCAATGGTGGTCGTTTTGTTTGTGGCTGCCGTGGTGCTACTGCGTGGTAGTACGATGCCACTGCGTATCTGGTTTTTTCTTGCCACTGTGGATCTGGTAGTTGCGACGTGGTTCCGTGTTTGGGTGGTGTTGGCGGTGGTTGTGTGTTCTGTGCTGTTTGGCGATGTGTGTGGCGACGATGGTTTTGGGGGTGGTGATAGTGGTGTTGGTTTTGAGATGTTGATGGTGCCACTGGTGGAGGTGGTGACGAAGTGGTGGTCACAAATGATTTTGGTGGTGGTCATGATTGGTTGATTGTTTGTTTGTGACCACTAATTTGGTTGGTCGGCGGTCAATAAACGATATGTGACCAATGAATTAGATAAAATGTGACCATTACATAATGTGTGATCTAAAAATTATTAATTGTGACCAATAATTTGATAAATTGTGACATAAATATAATTTATATTCAATTAAAATGTTGTTTGTGACCATAATTAAGTATTGTGACTTATAAATTTTGTGAATTGTGACCGATAAATAAATTGTGACTTTTAAATTTTTAAATTGTGACCGATAAGTAAATTGTGACTTATGAAAATTTTGAATTGTGACCTAAAAAAAAAATATGTGACCAACTAATTTGAAAATCTGTGACTGCGTGACCTATAAATTTTGATCTGTGACCAACGAATTAGTGGTGACCTACAAAAATTTTGAGCTGTGATCGGAAGTTGTAAATTTGTGACCGGAATTGTCGTCGGAATAATTGCCGGAATTGGAGCAGTCGCCGAAACGGTCGTCGGAGAAGAGTGGTGGTCGAAATGATCATCGAAATAGTCCCCAGAGTGGTATGGGTGAGGTATGTAGGATGGGTTAATTATATTAGAATTAAATATTTAATAATAAATTGATTCAATAATTTATTATTTCATTAAAAAAAATCTGATTTTTGAATTTTCAAACTATAAACCTGATTTTTGAATTTGTGTAAAGTAAATACCTTATTTATGAATTTTTCCCATATTTCAATTTCCTTACGGCAAACCGACAGGACTCTTAATTTCACAGAATTAGACTGAAATGGTGTTGAAATTGAGATTGGATATAGGCTTTGGATGACTTAAACTTGGCCTATTTGAGTCCACCCAATTATGTCATATTTTGGCAGACCAACACCCTCACATTGGCCCATACCAAACACACTTGGGGAACTGTGCCCGTGTTTGCACTCCATTTTAATGAAAATTCGGGGAAAAATAAATTTTGAAATAATAATTTTTTAAAAAATATTTGGTTAAAAATAAAGAAATTTTTTCGATTTACGTGTAATATTATTTTATAAGAGAATGTATAGTTGAAATTTGAAAATGAGTTTGAAAAAATAGGCCAAATATAGGCTATGTATATTTGAGAAATTTGCACCTGGGGTTCACAAACTATACCTCTTAAAGCACTTAGGTCTCTCATTCAAAATTTGTTGACTTTTGGATCCCAAAATTTTAATTTTTTGTAAACACCAGTCCTAATGGATGTAATGTGTCAAAAAAAATTGTTAAAACAATGATGTGCTTTCACGTGATCACTTTAAGCTTTGGTATTTTTGACTATCCATTATACTTCTTACGAAACAAATAAAAATAGAAAAAAACAAGAGAGAGAGAGAGGGAGAGAGAGAGTAAAATATCGCAACATGAAAGGGAATAAACAAAGATGCACTTCGCAAAAATCCCAATGTAAAGGGGATCTCCTCATGAGATAGTTTCATTGACGGGGAAAAATCTAAAGCGATAGATGGGAGAAGAAATACTGAAATCAAGATTTTTTTTTTTATTTTCTTTATCCTTTTTTTAAAACTGTTTTGTAAATAAGTATAACAAGTTGACCAAAAACCGATGCTTTAAGTCATCATGTGCAAGGTATAGATTTTTTTATAGATTTCATCTAAAACCAAAAATCAAAATTTGGGTATCTGAAAATAAAGAAAATTTAAACGGAGATACGAGTTCTCCAAAGGTTATAGATTGGGGACCCATGTGCAAATTTTCCTATTTATTCTCACAAATCTTTTAAGAAAAAATTGTACTTTTCATCTCCAACCTTTACCTCTACTTTTTTTAGTATAATCCATAATTCCATATCCAACATTTCGTTTATGTAGCAAAATTTGTCATCTATCCATTTTGACAAGTAAATGATAGATTTGCCCACTTCTTTAAATAAACAATTTTTTTAAAAAAAGCAATAAAATAATTAATGCTAAGGGAAATTTTAAAAGTGAGTTGTATAACTTTTTAAAAAGTACAAATAAATTTCACTTAAAATAATTAAATTCATATTAATAAACAAAGGATAAAAATAGAATAATGAACATTTCACTTTTCCATCCAAGTTTACCCACACATATGTAGTCAAACACCACTTCCCCAAATACAATTACGTTGATGGCGTCACAACCACACCTTTATAAATGACAACCTAGATAGCAAAACCACCACCAATAATGGATACTTCACTAGCCCTCTACCATTCATTTGAAAGAATCAAATTGCCACTTTTGATTTCTATTTTATTTTTTCTTTTAAGGGGGTGGTGTTGTCGCTGTCGATGATTACATTTGTAAAGGTGGTATTTGGCTGCAGTTAGTATGGATTGAGTGGGGTTGGTATAGGTGAATGGGTGGACGTGGTTGAGGAAGATGAAATATTTACTTTTCTAATCTTTCTTTTGTGTTATTATGTATTTTATTTTTTAATTGATATTTATTTGTACTTTATAAAAATTTATGCCTTCGAGATTTTGTCCTTGTTATTTTTTTATTGCTTTCTTTTTATTTTTGTTCATTTAAAGAGGGTGTCAAATTTGTGATTTAGTGGACAAATTGGAGGACGAGTTTTGTTACATAATTGAAATGTTGGGATGGATTTTGCTAAAAAAAAAGGGTTGGGGTAAATTGTTTCATTTCATAAATACTGAGGTTGAGAAGTGCAAATTTTTCCTCTTTTAAACTTGGCAATCTTTTCTTCTTTCTTTATTTCCTTTTTTTTTTTTTTAAGTTTTAAACAATTTATCAACAAATAAATTTCAAAAAAACCAAAAAAACAAAGATAAAAGATAGACAAATTGGGCATGGTGGGACTTCAATGTTTCCATGACATTGAAATATCATCATATGCGCGACTGAAAACGCCACAACAACATTTATCGGTTGATTTGAAGTATTAACAACAATTTCCATTATCTAATAAATATATTTGATGAATTATAAATTTTACATTTTTCAATATTTTGTTCTCCTTTTGTTATGAGTACACAAGTTGACAATAAATTTAAAAATTTAGCTATCGTTCAACTATCTACGCTACATATTGTGATCTCACGGGAATAAGATTAAAATAGCATCTCAGGATTCAGGACATTCTACCGTATGTCACTAAACTTCTAACAGAGTTTTATACCGATTAATATTAACTTAAATTTTGTTCAATTTTAATCTCCTTTATCAACGAAAAAGTTTGACGCGACAACGTAGTTTTTCGACAGCTAAGCTATCATATTAGCTTTTCCTTAATCAAGCTAACGAAGATGAACATAATGACCGAATAGTAATAAATATTTTAGTCGAATAAACTATTTCGATATAAAATTTTAGTGAAGTGACTATTTAAAAAAACAAAAGAAATTGGTACATAAACAAAGTTAACAACGACATTTGACCCAATCAAAAGATCGTTAATGAAACGGCAACTCCCGACCGGCTGATTTGATTATTGTATTAGGGAATCCTAATTACAACATTAGTGTTGCTACCTCAAAGGTTAACATTAACAACAACTGTTTCCTTCAAGATAATCAACTGCCGGTTGAATTTGTCTTGTCTAATACCTCATCTAATGACCCATTTTAACAAAGATCTTGCTCTAATTATACTACGCGGAATTCGTATTGTTTTTATTTTCCTTAATCCGTCGTATTTTCTCTTGAAAAATCTAAATTTGTGTCGTCGTAAGAATGAAGTATGAATAATATATAATCGAAATTTTTATTTGTATTCATATTGTATAATATGCATATTAGGTACTATTCTAGTGTATTAGGCTAAGGAAATTATGACATATTATGGTTTACATATTCTAATTGCGAAATGGTTGGACTTGTGTAAATTAGTTAAACCTTTTTTTTTTTCATGAATCAACTTAATTTTATAGCAGAGTTCGCACGCGTGTTAGGCCTCTCTGATATTTCATTCCTAAGTAAATATATCTCGTCCATACATATAAAATATTAGGTGGAACTTTTTCTCTTTGTAGAGAAAAAGAGACATATGAGTCCAACAACAAATGTAGAAAACTCACAACAATAAGTAGACATTATTCTACCATTGAAATTGAACCACCCTAAATCACACGTTCTTTACTTAATTTTTGATTTAGTATTCTCTCTCTCTCTCACATTCATGATACGAAATTATGTGTAACGTCTACATTCAAGAATAAATTTGGAAATGACGTGGACATTGGGTTTTCCTTAGAAGATTAGCATGAACACTTATGAAGTATCAAAGGTGTTAATGATAACCATAAACTCATTCAAAAGCAACTTCTAATCGATTACTTAAAATAATTGAAATACTAATGGATGCTTAAGGGCAAGTCTTAAAAAGTAGTTATCGTAGATAACTGGAACATTTGATAAATTGAATTGAAAAATACAGGGCGATATCAAAAAAAGGAAAAAAAAAAAAATAGATTAAAATTNAAACGGAAAAAAAAAAAGATTAAAATTTTGTTCACTGTCACGATGTTCTCTAGTAACACGCAATAACATGTTATAAAAGTGAGAAATACTTATCTGTTATCCGTTATTACGTCTAATATTATTTAATCATCAAACGCATTGAATAAATTATATGCGATTCAATATCTATATATTAAATAAGGCAACATAGTCAACCATCTCACAATTTTTAATTAGACCTTTCAATAATTATAATCTAAAAGATCAGCTAACCATTAAAAAAAAATTATTAGCCGATTGCTTTTGGCTTATACTACATCTCATACTAAGGGTACATTAATTTGTTCTTGACCCAAAATGTTGCTTAACACTCGGGACAATTGAGTAAAACATTTTCTTGCGATTAAAACAAGAAAGAAAAGCTCACAAACTGCAATTTTAAAATCGCGTTTTCCATCTGTGCTTCCTAATAGCCGGTAACAATCTAAGAGCATGTTTGGCTAAGATTAAAATCGGATTAAAATTGAAAAACTAACCGTTACTATAACGGCTAGTTTTTCAATTTTAATTGAATTTTAATCTTAGCCAAACATGCTCTAAGTCGTGTTTAACCATAGTTAATCAATCTCACCTTGAGTTATCTCTAATTTAGCAAAGAATTGGGTCCTGAAGAACAATGTCCAAACGCCAAAGTATTAAGCTTGTTGTTTAAATTGTTGTTACTTTATAATAAATAATATTAAAATTTACAAGGAAAAAGCGGGTTAGACTCTATAATCTTTCGCGTAATATAGTTATGGGTCCCAAATTTTAAAAGTGAAGTTATGAATCACCGAACCTATTTATACATGGGAATTTGAGTCATTATGAGACTACTATAGTCAATATGAATGTTAAAATTGCAAGTGGCTTCCAAATTAAATTTTAGCCAACATTAAAATTTTCATTTTCATTCTTCTACTCATTTTGAACAACACATTTTTCAATAAAATAATATTTTTCATCACATTAATAACTTTTCCTTCTTTTTCAACCACACATTTTCCATCAATCAACTATTCCAAAATAATGTGATTCAAGCACATCCCTGATGTCAAGTGATTATACATTTTTACTCTCTAGATTCAAGTCGTGCTCGATTTTATCATCTACATTGAAAATGGTCAAGTGGTCGAATAAACCGATTACTTTGATCAAAAGACTAACGAGAAGAAGATTATCGAAAAAGAAAAAAAAGAGTCATTTTTCATCTGGATCTCCAAAAAATGTCTTCTTAAAAAGATTTCCCAATAAAGCTTTATGGCAGAAGGGGAGTACGACAAAATGTTTGTGTTTAGTCGTTGGAATCTTGCCAAACAAAGCCATCGAGATGGTTCCTTAAAAATTAAAATTCGATAAATATTATACTAACACAACAAAAAAGAGTGAATATAAATTACAGTGTATTGGAGTGTTGTGTCATTTGTCAATATCAATTCTATCTGCTGCCACCCTCTGGTCGGCAAAGGAAGCTTCACATTCAGCCATTCAGGTTTTTGTTAAAAGTCTCTCTCACACGCTGATTGTGTGTAGTGGGTGAGCGTTGAATCATGCTATTTGTACAATATTTCTATTTTACAACATCATGTTTATTCATTTTAAAAATTATTTTTTATATTAAAAGCTCGAATTTTGATTATATATGATTGTCAACTAAAATTGTCAATTCTGGACAATTTATTGTGTGTGTGTGTTTGTCTCTTGTCACTGTCTGTCCCCAGTCATTATCGACTGTACATATTTATCACTCACTGTTGCTTAAATCCCCACTCAGTTTTTTCTTTTCTTATCACAGTCCAAGTCAGTTGACAGTTTTATGTTGTGTGAAAAGTTATCCCACAGCAACCAACCATTGCTCCATTCATTATCCTTCGCTTTTTCTTGAAGCAAAAGGACATATTTTAGATCTTCAATTGTTTTATATTGTTTGAAGGTTCAAGAGTTTTTGTGGAAAATATAAGAATAAAAGCAAGTTTTGGCTTCAGATTGTCAGGGAAAAAAGCCTAATTCCTTCACGTAAGTTCTCAAATTTTTGTTTCTTCTGGAACCCAGAAAAAGATCTTTATATATGAATTCTTGGGCTTTTTGTAAATTATTAATATTTTGTTGCAACTTTCCAGCATTTTGTTAGAGAAGATTAATGATTGTTGTTCTTTGGATGTGTTTGCAGTCAAAGTTTTTCAAAGATGATTAATATTATGCATTCTGTGAACAAACCCATGAATCAAGTCGAAAAATCCTTGGATCCCTATTTGTGGCATGCCTGTGCTGGTGGGATGGTTCAGTTGCCTCCTGTGAATTCCAAAATCTATTATTTTCCTCAAGGACATTCTGAACATGCCCATAAAAATGTAGATTTATGGGGGTTATCGAGAATTTCACCATTTATTCTGTGTAGAGTTTCATCTATTAAATACTTAGCTAATGCAGAGACAGACGAGGTTTACTCGAAAATTAGATTAATCCCATTGAGAGGCAATGAAGGTGATGGTGATGATGAGTGTGGATTTTTAGGTTTTGATAAGAGTGATGAAAAGGAAAAATCCAATTCATTTGCTAAGACATTGACACAATCTGACGCAAACAATGGTGGGGGATTCTCTGTTCCGAGGTATTGTGCTGAAACTATATTTCCGAGGTTGGATTATTCGGCTGAGCCCCCGGTTCAGACTATTTTTGCTAAGGATGTTCACGGGGAGATTTGGAAATTTAGACATATATATAGAGGGACACCCCGTCGACATCTTTTGACAACGGGCTGGAGTAATTTTGTGAATCAGAAGAAGCTCCTTGCTGGTGATTCGATTGTGTTCTATAGGGCAGAAAATGGGGATTTACGTGTTGGGATTCGGAGGGCAAAGAGGGGTATAGGCGGTGGACCTGAGGTGTCTTCCGGATGGAACACTGGAGATTCAAACTCTGCCTCTTCTATGTATAGGGGATTCTCCGGTTTTCTGAGTGAAAACGGGAATTTGACCATGGGAAATGTTACGAAAGGGAATGGAAGCTGCAGTTTAGGTTCGAGGGAAATGGGGAAAGTGAGAGCTGAATCTGTTATTGAAGCAGCAAATCTTGCTGCCAATGGACAACCATTTGAGGTTGTCTATTATCCACGAGCTAGCGCACCAGAGTTTGTGGTTAAGGCCTCTGCCGTGGGGGATGCAATGCGAGTCCAATGGTATGCAGGGATGAGGTTTAAGATGGCTTTCGAGACGGAAGATTCCTCTCGGATCAGCTGGTTCATGGGAACTGTATCTTCTGTCCAGGTCGAAGACCCCATCCATTGGCCTAATTCTCCTTGGCGCCTTCTTCAGGTAGTTACTTACACGGCAGTTTTATTTTCTTGCTGCAATCTGTATGCACAAGCTTCCGTTAATCGTATGCATCGTTATCTTTTTTCAAAATTGATATGTATATTAAGAGAATTGAAAGTTATTTTCCCAAGAGTTAAGTTGAAGTAGTAATTTGTCTCTCTCTCTCTTAAGGTTCCATAATATTTTATAGTGTTGTGAGAAACTGAAAAATTGAGACTAAAATTCCTTGTGCTCTGAGTTGAGTCATTTCTCAGATTATTGGCAAGAAGAATTTGTCAATCTTCTCAGCTACTTTCACATTCTTTGATTCTGAGATTTTGGCACTTATTTGCAGGTAGCATGGGACGAACCCGATCTACTACAAAACGTGAAACGAGTGAACCCATGGTTAGTTGAATTGGTATCAAATATGCCTGCGATCCATCTCTCCCCTTTTTCCCCACCAAGAAAGAGGTCGCGGCTTCCACAACCTCCAGAATTACCCTTTGTCGGTCAACTTTCAGTTCCATCACTTCTTAGCAACACCCTCAGTCTCAGCAGCCCCTCGTGTTTTTTACAGCACAATATTTCTGCTGGCATACAGGGAGCCAGGCATGCTCAATTCCGATTATCTTCACCGGATCTCCACTTAAAAAATCTGCAGGCAGGACTGCAATTGTTTGAGTCGAAGAAACTTGAATATCCCATGGAAAATCCCATCTTTGATTCAATATCTTGCTTGCCGAAGACAGTAGGAAACTCAACACAAAATCAAAAGAGAGAGAATGAAACAAAAAAACCTATCTTTACTTTGTTTGGTCAACCAATTCTTACTGAGCAGCAAATCTCTCAAAGCTGCTCTTTGGATAATCAAGAGAATACAGCAAATCTCTCAAATGGATCTGGATCAGCAGTTATTCAGAATTGTCCACAAGAAAACTCTTTGGATGAAGAGTTTCCACGCTTCAAGGATAAAAAGCTGGAGTTTGGGTTGGAGACAAGACAATGTAAAGTGTTTATGGAGTCCGAGGTTAATGGTCGGACCCTTGACTTATCAGTTTTTCATTCGTATGAAGAACTATACAAAAAGTTGGCATCCATGTTCGGTATGGAAAAATCGGAGATGTTGAGCAATGTGTTTTATAGTGATGCTGCAGGCACCACTAAAAATGCTGGAGAAGAACCCTTCAGGTAACATGCTAAATCAATCTTTTTTTAACCTGAATTCGAACAATTCTAGTAAATTGTTAGCATTATAATTTTGTTTCCATCGATGTGTTATTGCAGTGATTTTATGAAGAATGCGAAAAGAATAACAATTCTAAGGGATTCAGGCAGTGACAACTTGGGGAGTTTGATAAGAAATTGATCTCTGTCATTGGTAAATTTGAACTGCTACAAGTGTCCTTTTTGTAATACCCTTTTTACATTTGGAAGGTGTGGAAAATATCCCACTTCAACTAAATTTTGAGATTTATGCTCAAACTTGTTGGGACAGCTTCACTTATGGGAATGCAAATTCTTTTTCGAATTCACTAGTGTGTAAGTTCTGTTATGATTAAACACTAATCCCTATTCCGAGAATTGTAATTGCAGAAAAGCATTCAGACAATAGCAAAATATACGAAGATTTCTAGCGATTCGTGCTTAATGTCCATTCTTTGTTGCAAGATTTCACTAAAATTCTTTGTATGTTTAGAAATATTAGGCTGATTTACAATTGATGGGATTGTACAGTATCATTAGGCTCCACGCAGTCTAACACATTCATGCTTGAGAGAACTTTCATATTTCGACAAATATGTATATATTTGCTTTGAATTTGCACTACTAGCTGCAGGTGATGCAAACTGTACTTTAATACATCTAAGACATTTTTGAACTTAAGTTTATGCTTATGTGATTTGAAGGCTATGTCAAGAAGAAGATGAGAGTTTCAACTTTTCAACCATTTAGACATTTTTCTGACAAACAATAATTAGACAGCAAAGTTAAGTGCTGGACAGATTGAATTAAAATCTCTCAGTATCATTTAAGTAGTTGGCACCCTATGCATTAAGTGACAGCAATTAATATTTTCATTAAATAAGTTCAAGCAAATGGGCATGTGTGTGTGTGTGTAACATCAGATTCAACCCTTGATACATGTGGTTATGAATCCTAAATTAAAGCATATCATATACTACTATTTTAGGTAGAAATTAAGAAATTTCATTCTTTTTTGAAACCTTACATTCATTATTTTTAATATGTAAACATAATGAGAAACTTGGTATCGATTCGAGTCCCACTGGCCTAATAACTCATTTGTGATCGACTTCAGAATCAAAAGATTAAAAGACTAGGATTTAAAATCAAGGACAACCTCGTTTATGATTATACAATTTACGTGATTCACAATATTTTATCGATTATTATACTTGAGTAGCAGTAGAGTTTCGATTTCCTTAATATGGGACGTGGTGAAAAAGACTAGAATTTAAAAACATGTGATGGTGGAGTTGACTGTCATCCCAAGTGCCCAAGATTTTCAACGTCCAACAATAAAAACCTACTCTGGCGCCGTATGAACTGGGGAATATCTATTGGGATTTGAAATGGAATAATTAACAATTTGATTAGTGTTGAAACAAAGAATTAATTAAGAATGACTTGGGATTTAATTTACTAATTACGAGATCTACTTTTAAGAGACTCGGTCAATTGGGGCAGATCTCCTAATCCCAATAGCACTGCCACATTGGGGACTGATTTCTGTAAGCTGTCAGTTGAACTCACAAAGATTATGGGATCAGAAAATTGCCCATCCCAATTAACCTCCTCTCCATGGATGTGTGCCTCAATTGTCAACGAATTTTAAAACGAAAATTTCAGGGTTTATTCACTTTACTGGTTTCATACCATTTTCAGTTTGTAATTTTCGAAATCACTAAAAACACGTTTATTTACTTATTTTTAGAAATGAATTTCTAAAAATGAATTTAAAATTTACAAAGAAAACAGAAAACGTAAAAAAAATCGTTTTGACCGTTTTCAATTAAAATTAAGAGCTTGTTTGGGAGCAATTTTTGCGGAATTTTAATCAAAAGTATAGCCGTTATAGTCAACCTATGGGCCCCACCCGTGAGAGGGAAAGTAAAAAATAGTGGCTGATTTGATAGTTAACAGCTAGAATTTTAATTAAAGTTTCTCCCAAACAGGGCCTGAGCCAAAACTTCAATTTTTTTTTTTTGAAAACAATTTTTCAAAATGACATAAAGAGCACGTTCTCAGCAATTTCGAAATGGACACTCAAAACAAAAAAAATGAATTCAAAACCCAAAACTAAAAAATGAAATACAAAGAGAACAACCCCTTAAGTTTTAAGTACGATAGGTTGAATTTTATCTTCATCAAAGTAGCACGATGTAGTTATATGAAACTTTCAATACTAAATTCGGTGGCAACATTTTCTTTTATACATTAATTTTATTTACGTTCATACCATAAAACGGTCATCTTGTCACATTTTATTTAATTGATTTGAAGGAGTGATGCGGATCTCATTTTTTATATACAAGTGGTACTGGGAAAATTGAGAAAGTTGAAAACTTGATTTCTACGCTTAAAAAAAAAGGAAAAGGAAAAAAGAAGCCTTCATTTATAGGAAAAGTAATGTTTTGGACAAGAGAATTAATCAAGCTTAGGTAAAGTCTCATTCTAACTTTCAATATAAGTGTAAATTGTTATGTAAATTTCTTAGTTTCACTTAGTATTGGAATCGAATTAAAACTTCGGTCCTTCCATGAATAAATCTTGAATTTTGTTCTCAAATTGGAACAATAATGCTCATTGAACAGGGCAAATGACTGTGGGTTGACAAAGGGGACGGCATGGTAGGATTGGTTTTTTTTTTTTTTTAAATTGTCTAATTATATATTGATACGTGTCCCATCAGTCGTTGAATATGTCACTATAGTAAGATTAAAATTGGAATGGTTGTGAGGAAAAATGCGCACCAGTAGCGGAAATGTTGGAGAAAAGTAGGAAAAATTGATGGGTAGGTGCAGTCAAATTAATTAAGGGTAAATGTGGGACCGACCAAGCAATCAATTGTTGGAAAACAAGAACAACTGGGATCACGTGTGGCGGGCCTTGAAAAGTCAACCCCGCCCCGGCCCAGAAACAACGGGTGCGGCGTTTTGACGAATGGGAAATTGGGAATCAATAGTTAATGAAGTCCACATACTTCAAATCTCGAACACAATTTTTTAAACTCTTTTTCTACCTACTTATTTTAAATCACACATTTATACAATAAAATATTCTACACGTAAATTCAAATTTTTTACTACTTTTAACTACACATTCTTCTAAAAGTCACTATTCAAAATGATCGAAAAGTACACTCAAATTGATTTATTGTGTTTGGAAAAAAAAAAAACTAAAGATTTTGTTTCATATTATAATGTCTAAAACTTCCTAAGAGTTTGTATGGTTATATAAAATTGTGTTCCTTGATTTCAGGCCAACACACATTAATACCAATAGCATTGTGTTTTGCAACATGGCATCCAAAGTTTGTAGTCTTGGCACAATGTTTATGCCTAATCCATGGGCTTCTCTGAATAATAACATGTTTCTTTTTCAATCAAAAGGTCAAAAATTTGACCTTTGTGATTCTTGAGGGAGATATGGATTCATATTTAAAAACGTACAAGAAAAAAATTATTGTCGATGCAAGCCCGTATAACTTATTATCTGCTTTTATTTTATTTTTTTGTGATCAGTCTTGTTGATCATGTATTACTTGGTGCAATTTGCCTTTACACTTTTGAA